GATAAACACACATACCAATTAAATGCACATGCCAGTTAAATGCACATGCTGGTTAAATGCACATGCTGGTTAAACACACATACCAGTTAAACACACATACCGGATAGACACACATACCGGTTAGACACACATACCGAGTAAACACATACCGGATAAACACACATGCCGATTAAACACATGGCGGCTAAACACACATACCGGTTAAACACACATGCCGGTTAAACACACATGCCGGTTAAACACACATGCCGGTTAAACACACATACCGGTTAAACACACATGCCGATTAAACACACATACAGTTCAGGTTGGACCCCTATTTCCTGAATAACAGCTTCCTCGGGTTGCCAACTGGCTGTGCTTGTTGGATTCTACTTTTCAATCAAGAGCCTTATTTTATATATATGAAAAAAAAGGCCTGAAAAAAATTGCAAGCATGAAAGTGGTGGGTTTAAACCAAATGTTTCCCAGCCTTGGCCACGCGCCGGACGTCCCACCCCCCTTGGTCCCCACCCACAGGTCACCAGAGCACGCAGGGCACAGCCTCCCGGGCGGGCTCCGGTGCCAGGGTGCAGGGGTGGCGGGGAAGGGCCCTGGGGGCCGGTAGGCTCCTGCGTTTTGGCAGCCATGGCCACCGTCCCCCATCCGAACACGCGGGGCGGAAGCGCCCAGGGGGCCCTGAGTGTCACCCCCACACCCCACGGAGGGAAGAGGGGCCCGAGTTTCCCTTGGGGAAGGGGCCTTGGCCTTTCTTCTCTCCTTCCCGCTCCCTGAGGCACTCAGAGTCCTGACACCTGCCCAGCTGTGACAGCCCGAGGCATCTTCAGACACTGACCCCTGTCCCTTGGGGGTGGTGGGTGGAATCACCCTGAGGGCAGGGACCGTCCTTTTCCCTCCTTTGTGGCCCCCGGCTCCGGCACCCTTGTGGTTGGTGAAACGCCCTGCAGCTGTGCCGGAGCCGGGAGGAGGAGGAGGAGGAGGAGGCGGGAAGGGAGCCCTGCCTGGGAGCACCTCGGGCTCCAGGGCCGGCCAGGGGTCGGGGAAGCCTGAGAACAGCCGGACGTCACCGCAGGGCTCTGACCCCACTGGCAGACGGCCTCCCCTGCGGTGGGCGGTGGGCCGGAGCCAGCGGCGCCCACGCACTGACATCATCCCTGAAACCCCGGAGTCACAGCCGGGCGGAGGCCGGAGGAGGCTGGAGGCCGAGCCGGGCTGCTCTGCGGCAACCGGCCCTCTGGGCGCCCTCGGGGATTCCCACGCCCGGTCCACATGGCGCACCCTGGGGGCGGGAGGGCCTGGGACCCCAGCGGGCCATGCCCCACGCCCACACGGCCTGGACGGCAGCCTGTGGCTCCGAGTGGCCACACACGAGGAGCTGGAGGAAGCGGGGGCCGGCGGGAGCGCGAGGCAGCGGGTGCGTGCGGGCAAAGGAGCTGCGTGGCCGACTGGGGGGGGCGGTGGCCGTGGGGCAACCCGCCAGCCACTTCTCGGTGCGGCGCCCACGCCTGTCCTCCCTCTGGTCCTTCGCCACAGCGAGGACTCGGCACCCAGAACCTCCTGCCCATGAAATTGGGAAACGGTTTATTGTCCTGGGGGACCCTTTCCAAGAAAGGACCCTCGGTCGGGGCCCTGCCGGGGGAGCGGAGTCCTCCGGAGCCGTTTTTACGTCCGGCCAGGAGTCAGGGCTCGCCTCTGCTAGATCAGCCGCAGACCCCGTAACTCGAGGCGCCCACCCGACCGGCTCTGCCCCCGCCGGGGCCCGCACGGCTGCCGGGTGGAGACAGCAGGACAGAGGGACGCAGGCCTGGGCGGCCCCACGGCTTCCCGCGGGTTTCGAGTGGGTTTCACTCCCCCGCCGCGCCCCGACTCTGGTCGGGAGGAGGCAAACTCGGGTGTCTTGGGTGCTGCAGGGGTGGGGACCAGGAGCCCAGTCCCACGTCTGCATTCCACAGAAGAGGCAACGGGCTGTGCGCCCAGGTGAGGCTCTACCCGGCCCCGAGGCTCCTGCCACCAGCCGAGCCGGGCGCAGACCCGCCAGCCGCGCAGTGCCCTCGGCCTTGGGAAGGGCCCGTCCGGCTGGCACGGCCGTGGGGCCTCCTTCCTCCAGGCCGCCGGCCCAGCCTCCCCCACCCGCCGCGGAGGCTTTGCTGGTCTCTTCTGGAAGCCCCAGTGGCTCGTGCCGGCCGGGGCTTGGGACCAGGGAGGCCGCCTGGGCCAGGGCAACACCAAGGAAGCCGCGCGTCTGAGCTGCCCGGCCCCGAGGCAGGCGGGCGCCAGGC